TGTTTCTTTTATTTCTTTCAGTGATTTAATTATTTCTTCTCTGAAGTCCGCAAACTGTTTGGCTGCATCTTCTCGTATTTTTTCACGGATGGCCATAATCTGTTTGTCTTTAACTTCATCCATTTTTTTTACGGATAGCCATGATTTGTTTGGTTTTATCTTCCTCTAATTCTTTATGTTTTATTTGTTTCCTCTGTTATCCTCTTCATCAGCATAGATGTAAGGTCATCTTCTTGATTTTCTATTATGCTGCATTGTCCACGGCTGTTCGCCCCTGGATGGCTGGGTTCTGGAGATGCCATATTGCTCTGTTTTTTGTTGGTTGAGCTTTTACACTGACCTCTACCCATTGGGCTGTTTTAAGTGTTGGCTGTTAGTTTCTGTGCTTCCTGGAGTCCTGAGGTAGGGAGAATCCCCTTGGCCGGAAGATGATTTTTCCTGAAGGAGTCCTCCTCTGCTTTTTGGGTATGGTCACTGTATGGCCAGTGTTTCTCAGGAGTTGCCACTGCTCACCTCAGGTTTATAGCCCTGAGTAGTAGCTGTGGTCTTTGTTAGGTGGGGGGGCCTCTCCTCTTACCCATAGAAGTTCTCAAGACAGCTGCCCCACTGCTGGGTTTCTCGTTATAAATTTAGTGAGCTGCTGTTGTTGTTACAGTTTTCCAGGTACAGTCCTCTTGAAGAACCTGCTGATTCCCTAGCTGTGGGGTTTTCTCCCAACAGGGAAACTCAGTCTGTTATCCTGGGGCACACAGTTCTGTCTGGGAAAGTGAGAGGAGTGCCCAGCAAGTCTCTGGGTCAGAGGCTGATTGCTCTGCTCTGGGCCTGGAGAATGTGCACCTAGGCTGAGTTGTCGCCTGGTGGCGCCACTCTGGTCTGGAGGCTGGTAACTGAGGGTTCCACTCTGGTCTGAAGGCTGGGTGCCTCCCTCTGGACCGGAAGCTGTGTGTCCCTGTCTGGGATGTAGGCTGCGGGCACTGCTCTGCTCCGGACACTGTGGGTGCAGCCCTCTTGAAGGACCAGGGATTCCCACAGTTTTGTCAGTCTAGCTAGGGATAACTAGTTGATCCTTGGCACAGTATCTGAGGGCTGCTGTAATGGCTCTCTGGCTTTTGTAGGTTTGAGGATGCAGCTGTGTGCCCCAGTGCCCTAGGGGTACACAATAATGGCGGCTGAGCACAGTGCTCCTGCCTGCAGTAGAAAGCTAGAGCCTAGAGTCTGCGTGAATCCAGAAAGTCTTTTGGTGCTGGGTGTCCTGAGCGTTAGACCTGATGATCCCCCAGCTGTGGGGTTTCCTCCTGCCAGGGACACCCAGTCTTTGCTTTGGGGACCGCTCTTCTGTCTGGGGTGGCAAGTAGAACCCACAGGCACAGACGCCTGCCCGTGCCTCCACCCTTCTGGCTGTTGGGAGCCTGGGCGTCTGCCTAAACTGGGTAATTTTCCCGAGACCTTTCTGGGGGTGATGGTATCAGCTGAGTGCTCTGAGATCAGACCAGCCGTTTCCCTACCTGTGGGTTTGCACCCAACAGTGAAACTCAATCTCTGGTGCCCTGGGGCCCACAGTTCTATCTGAGGCAGCGAATCAGACGCGCAGGTAGGGCTCTGTGCCAGAGCCTGGATCCCTGGCTCTGGCTCTGGGCTGGCTCCTGGGGTGCCCGTGGAACCTGAGTCTTTTCCAGGGAATGTCTGGGTGACCTAAGGTCGGTCCCAATCATTTCCTGCTCTGTGGGGTTATCTCTCGACTGGAAAATCCAGTCTGTGATGTTGTGGGCCCATAGTTCAGTCGGGACAGTGACCAGATCTCGCTGGCGTGTGGCTCTGGGCTGGCGATCAAGCCCCTGGCGGAACCGGGATCTCTTCCACGGTTTAGCCGGGTGAGTTAAAGCTGATTGAATGCCTCACCGTGGGGTATCCTCCCATTTGAGAAACACAATCACTTGTGTTTTATGGCTGCGAGTTCTGATTGCTGGTCACTCTGCTGATCCTGCTGTGCTGCTGCTCAGAATGAGAGTCCTCCTGGCACCGCCATCTTGCCCCGCCTCCCCGAAGTTTTTTTTTTTTTTTTTTTTTTGTTTTTGTTTTTTTGAGACAGGGTCTCATTGTATAACCCTGGCTGAGTTGGAACTTGCTATGTAGACCAGGTGGTGGTCTTGAACTCCCAGAGTTCTGTTTCCTTCTATCTTCTGAGTGCTAGGATTAAGGGTATGCACCACCACCATGTGTGTTCTACAAAGTGAGTCCAGGACAGCCAAGGCTACACAGAGAAACCCTGTCTCAGAAAAAAATGTGTGCACCACCATACTTGGAATTATTTGTTTCCTAAACGACTGTTGTTCTGACTGGGGTGGGATGATATACTTTTAATTTGTATCTCTGATAGTTAACAAGATTGAACATTTTTAGTGTTTTATTGGCCATTTGTACTTCATCTTTTGAGAACTGTTCATTTTATATTGAATGGATGATTTGATTTTCTGAAATTTAGTTTTTTGAGTTCTTTGTATACTTTAGATATTCATCCTTTTAAAGATAAATGCCTAGCAACGATTTTTCTCTTATTCTGTAGGCTGTCTCTTAACTTAGTTAATCATTTCCTCTGCTGTGTATAAACTTTTTAACTTTAGGAGACCCTGTGTATCAGTCAGTAGAGATGAAGAGTGGCTTTGTGCTTTCATAGGCACTGTGTGCAGGAGGTTGCCTCTTGGTGTTCTTCTGGTCTGGGCAGAGGATTTAAGTATGCTAATTATCATGGTGAAAGTGTGCTGCTTTATAGAAACAGGGATAGTTTCCAGTCTTTCATGTGCCACATTTTATTTATATATTATTTTTGTTATTTTTACTTTGTTTAGGTTTCAGTCTTATTCAGAAACGTACATATAATTCTTTTTATGACAACTTTAAAAATTTTGCTTTTTATTCTCTGATAGTTTTATACATGTACATGATGGATTTTAGACAGTATGCACTTTTGTGTAATTTCCTCAGTTCTCAAGCATGAACTGTGCAGATGACAGCATCATGTCATCATGAGGCCACACAGAGTAAATGTATGCCTTCAGTATTTATATGAATGGCGGGCTGGAGCATGTGTTCCCAGTGCCATCTCTGTCCACCTGTCTACTTAAATCAGAGTAGCCCTTTACAACAGAATCAGCCTATTTGCTTGAAGCTATCTAGTGAATGTATAACCCCTCCCACAAATTACAAGGCTAACAAGGATTTTAATTCTGCCACCTCTGAAGTTATCTTTGTCTGTTTTTCCCATTTACTTTGTTCTTGCCACATGAGCTTTCTAATTTTTTGAAATAAAGAAACAAAAGGACGTTATCGACCATGTTAAGTACTTTGAACTTGTTGAAATATTCTTCCTTCTATTTCTAGTGTTTAACTAAAAGTTCCTGTTTCAAGGAAGGTCTTTCCTGACCATGCAGTGAAATTGCTTTTCCTGATTATTTTTCTTTAGCAGTTATCAATATCTAAATGTCATATGTTCTAACTTATGTACATTGCTTATGGTTTTTCTTTCTCACAATGAAAGTGGGCAGGCTTTTCCTGAGTCCGCAGTTGTTACCCCCAGTCCCTACATTAATGCACTTTCTCACAGTGGGCAAACATTCTGTGTTTACTGAAGAAGTGACTTACACATAACCTATTCTATTGAGGTTATGGAGCTGGCTAAGGCATTTGTTTCACACTGAATGTGAAGCAGTTATTTTATTTTTCTAAAAGTTTAACAAATGTAAGTATATTGAAGAAAATGAGAATTCGTACATGACTGGTTACAGTTTAACTTGGTCAGCTATTCTGGAGGACTAAGTGACATTTTTTTAAAGACAAAAATGTATCCAGTGTGAGCTAGCCTGCCAGAAAAATATGAAAAAAAAGATGAAGGGCAAAAAACAGTGTGCCCATCATCCCTAGCCCCAGGGATTTGGAGAGCATGCAGCAGGAGCAGGAAAAAGGCAAATGAGGAAGACATGGAACGCGAACAGCTCTGCGCCCTTTGCCTGTGTGCATGGTACCAGGTCCACCAAATGCCGGCTTCTTCCTGTAATGCTCAAAGGTCCCAGCACTGGTAGCATTCTCTTTGCCAGGAGTCTGCAGCAGCTCTCTTTTGTGCTTCCTTTCATTCAGGTAGCTTCTCTTTCACTGGGCCGTTCCTGAGAGTGAGGGGCTGACCCCTTCTGAGTCCAGAGTATTAAAAGTAGCTCTGTAATTTTTTTAAGAGAATAAACCTTAGGAAATCTGCTTTTTGAAATGTATTCTACTAAAATTATTAACTATAAAATTCAAATGTAAGCATATTTCAGAATATTTCACAGTGGTAAAAGCTGGAAACTAGGTAAATGTATAGACATGAGAGGGATTAGGTAAACTCCGGTGAAGTCAAATGTTGGAATACTGTGTTTTATATGGCCATGTGAGTTATAGGAGTCCTACAGAAGAGAATATCTATTGCTGTCATAGTCCACAGGAAGCCCTGGAAGTACGAAAGTATTTAGGACTCATTGAGGGTCAGGAGATTCATTTACTCAAAATGGCTTTTATTCCTGTGTTTATTTGTGACATATCAAACAGTACTGGACTCTATTTTTTTTTAAGTAGTTACCATTTTTTAATGTGGTATAATTTTTATACTTACTGTCTTTTCCTGCTGCACCTGAAAATTCACTGTTATGGCCAGGGATCTGTTTTATCTAGTCTGTATGCTAGGAGTATATGTAAATACGTGGTAAAAAAAAAAAAAAAAAAGGCAATGAATGTATTTTTTTGAGATAGGATCTTAACTGTGTTGGTCTTAGCTTTCCTTCCAAGTGCTAGGATTGTAGGCACAAGATACCATACTGGCTTGAATGTACTGATGTTGTAAGAAAGAGAGTTACTGTAAAAAATCCCTAAATATTTTAATAGAAGATAAAGGCCACATTTGGTAGCATGCAGTTTTGATGTCAGAAGAAACATATAGTAAAGAATTTTAATAATATTTTTCTCTGCTTTTCAAGGTTTCTCAATATTCTTTACAGAAGAAAGTGGGTGAAATGGTAAGAAAATTATGTATTTTTACCACTTGGGTTGGTACATAACATTCATAGAAATATTGTAATGTAAGTTGAAACTTTTAGTAAAAAAACAAAACAAAAACAAAACCCAGAGTAGTTGCTACTGGATATTGTTATAGTTTAAAGACCTGCCACAATTTCAGCTTAGACAAATTTTACAAAATTATTTGCAGATTTTTGAATATTTCCATATTGCAAAATAAATAAAATATGGGATAGTGTCCATCCTTTATTGTTCTATATTTAGAATATGGTACTCATTATTAGTCAAGTAAATATTTCTGTTATTTTTATTTCTGTGCACATAAAGATTACTATTTATTTTACAGAATAACATCTTATGGAATTCTTATTTTAATATTCTCCCTTGTGACTGTATTTGATTCAGAATGTGTGTGTGTGGTTTTAGTTGAACAGAATTCTCACTGTATTTACTTAAATCTTAAAAAGGCTTCTTGGGTGGGCTTATGCTATTCTAATCTTCATTCCTTGGAATAGACTGTAAAGCAAGTAAAATTAAAATTTGAATATACTTTGGCTATCACGTATATAAGAAATGAAGATTATTGATATAACATTTAACATCATGTTTAATATTTTGCTTCTTGAAATTGTTTTGAGGTGTTAAAAATGAGAGAGCTCATAGAAAGATTGGTAGTCTCAATTAAATAAAAGATGTGAAGATTCTATTTACATTCAGCTGGAGAGAATAAAGACAATATTGTCAGATGATTTTAAACTGATTTTAATTAAGAAGCTGAAAAACTAGATTCCAGCTTAGCTGTAAGTACCATGACATTTGTGCTGAAAGTCATCTTCAACGCTACAGTGGTTTTACACAAAATATAGAGAAATTGAATAATGTGCCCTTTGACCTGGGAGATAAGGCTACAAGTGAAGGACCAAAGGCCACATAAAATGTGTTTTATTTTATTCCAGTTTAAAATTTCATTAAACAGATACTGATAATCTTTAAAAAAATGGAAGTATCTCCAAGTTTTTTTTGTCAGTATGACTAAGTCACATTTTTCCTGATAGTTGAAAGCATTGTATCACTTTTCATTAAAATTATTTTATATATGGAGTATAACTAATATTATATGTCCATTCATGAGCAATATTTTTATGTAAAAGTTAAAAATCATATTTCCTAGACATTCTTTTATATATTTTTCTTATACTTCCTTTTTAATTAATTGATTCAATATACATCTTGGTCATAGGTCCCTCCCTCCTCTCTTCCAAGTTCCACCCTCCCTCTCCCCTGTTTTTCAGAATAGGGGAGTCCCCCCTTCCCAGACACCATAGCTCATCTATTCACATGAAGACTGAGTTTGTCTTCCTCCCTTGTAGTTTTGTAGGGAAGTCCCATCAGGGGAAGTGATCAAAAAGCAGGCAACGTAGTCCATGTCAGAGATATCCCTCACTCCCCTAACTAGTGGGCCAACATGAAGCCCAAGGTGTCCATCAGACTTATTTCTTGGAGTCTGTGCAATATAGTATGTCTATCCTGTACTATATGACTAAAATCCTCTTGTAAGTGAGTATATACCATCTGTGTCTTTCTGGGTCTGTGTTAGCTCACTTAGGATGATCTTTTCTAGTTCATGATTTCATGATTTCCTTGTTTTTAATGGCTGAGTAGTATTCCATTGTATAAATGTACCACAGTTTCTTTATCCATTCTTTGGTTGAGGGACATTTAGGTTGTTTCCAGTTTCTGGTTATTACGAATATAGCTACTATGAACATGGTTGAGCAAATGTCCTTGTTGAATGGTAGAACATCTTTTGGGTATATGCCCAGGAGTGGTATAACTGGGTCTTGAGGTTTGGCTCTTCCTAGATTTCTGAGAAAGTGCCAGATTGATTTCCAAAGTACAAGTTTGCACTCCCACCAGTGTTTTATAATTCTTAATTTATTATTCTATTATTCTTATATAATTCACGTGACTTTTTCAAATTCAAAATCTTATTTTATGAAAGCAGTATACTATCTTCTATATTCTTTAGCACCATGGGCAAGCCAGGAAACAATATAGACATCCAGTCGTGTCCAGAGAAAACTTGTAGAACTTGTAGCAGAGGGTCCTAAAAGAAATAATTTTAAAATAGTGTTAATACATTTTAAAGATGTTAATGCCTCTCTAGAGGTGAGCACTTAACTCCTAGTAAATGCCAGTCTATGGGGAGTTGAAGAAATTGACTTCCTTATAAAGGTGTATTGTAAAGGTAGAGATATGCCCTATAGAAATTAACACATTATGAATCAAAATATTTGTCTGTCTCCCTCACCTTGGAAAAATCATGGTCATTACCAATAAGTATGTAACAAAATACTCTAGGGCAAATTGGAAACATCAAATTAGCCATTACTATGAGTTAGCCACTGAGGAAAATTCTGTTGTATCCAGTGGATACCAAGTAGCTGATATTGTGCATAATTAAAGTTACAGATAGCCGTCACGGCTATAACTGCTGTCTGCTTAATGAAGTAAAACAGTGTCTAATGACCTTTAAGCCAAGTTTTCCTTCTCTTAAAGGAAAGTATATTACTTTCTTTTAAGGAAAGACTTAGAGGAAAGATGTCTTTTTCTTTGGCAAATTAAAACAAAGTTTCCATGCTGAAGGTTTTGATGTAATTCAGAGTGACAGTATTCTTTTAGAATAAAATGTTTTAGTTTATATTGTTGGCCTGTATTTGCGTCTGCGCACATTGTGCATGCCTGGTGCCCACAGCTATAGGTGCCCATGGGATTTACAAGTCTTAATAGTATTTATCATGACCATTGAATAGGCTGCAGTATCTGAAAAGCAGAATTACAGCAATCAAATTAATGAAACTTTATTTTTCTTGGATTCCACTTTGGCCTCAAGCAAAGGACTTTTGGAATAAGTATATAACAGTTTAAAGTATATGGAGCTTGATGACTAGGGATGGCCTGTGAAAGGAATCTCCAAACTTTGTTATATTTTTCACTGACAGGATTACTGACTTTTGTAGCTGTTGACTACCTGTTTAATACTTTTTAACTGAAAGGTTAAGGATTTTATTATGAGATCATAAATTAATATGTAATAGACAGTGTTCTCTTAAAGGCTAGGTAAGTATGGATTTAAGCTGAAATTTTTCTTGACTTGAAAACATTCCATTAGCATATAGTGATCTTTGTTGTGGTTCAGGAGTAGTTGAGCATTGACCACATGAGCAGCAGACTCAGCCTGATGTGAGTTTATTACTTACTGGACAAAGACTGATTGGTCAGGGACAGTCTGGACTCAGGAGCCAGACTGTGAAGCCAGTCTGTTTCTAATGCAGGCTTTTTATATGAAAAACAGTAACCAGGTAACCAGGTAGGAAGCAAGGGGAGAGCAGCATTTCATCCTTTTGACCAGCTAAACAAAGCGTTTCCAAGTACAGTGTAGTTAGGTAGCCAGACAAAGCATTTTAAGTTGATTAGCTAGGATATAGGCTTGTGGACTTTCCAGTTCCTCATCGTTCCTGGAGAAAGGGACATAGCAGGGTATTGTGGTTTTGTTTAAGGAGAACATATATCATTGATTCAAGCAGAACATTCAATAAGTGTCGAATTGAATTGTAAGTAAAAGGATGTTCAAGTTCTCAGGCAGGCAGAGCCTGAGAACCTGAACTGAATTTCATCTTATGATCAAAATGTAGACTTAAAAACTAAGTGGCTGCAGTTATTAGGCAGTAAGGCTTAGACATGCTGGGCATGTCTCAATGGTGGTGTGCCTGAACAGTATTGTTTTTTAGATTTTTATATATCTGCTAAGAATTAGTAATTCTCTAAAGCGAGGAACTTAAATATGGTTCATTATTTTCTATTGTTTAGTAATTGCTAATAGTAACTACTTAGGTAGATACAAATTTATATAAATTAACCCTTCTGAGTAGGATACAACTTTTACTAATTATGCCTCATGTTTTTAATGGCTGAGTAGTATTCCATTGTATAAATGTACCACAGTTTCTTTATCCATTCTTCGGTTGAGGGACATCTAGGTTGTTTCCAGTTTCTGGTTATTACGAATATAGCTACTATGAACATGAGACTTATTGTAGACTTTTTTGTAACAGCAACTTTTGATATTAATTTTTATTTTATTTTTATTAATTACAATTTATTCACTTTGTATTCCAGCTGTAGCCCCCTCCACCACCCCCTCCCAATCCAATGATAGAGGAGGTTCTCCTTTCCTTCCATCTGACCCTAGCCTATCAGGTCTCATCAGGACTGGCTTCACTGTCTTCTTCTGTAGCCTGGTAAGGCTGTTCCCCCCTCAGGTAGAGGTGATCACAGAGCCAGCCCATGAGTTCATGTCAGAGGCAGTCCCTGTTCCTATTATTGGGGAACCCTCTTGGACACTGAGTTGTCATGGGCTACATCTGTGCAGTGGTTCTAGGTTATCTTCATGCATGGTCCTTGGTTGGAGTATCAGTCTCAGAAAAGATCCCTGTGCCCAGATTTCTTGATTCTGCTGCTTTCCTTGTGGAGCTCCTGTGCCCTCCAGGTCTTTCTATCTCCCCCTTCTTTCATAAGTTTCCCTGCACTCTGCCCAAAGTTTGGCTATGAGTCTCAGCATATGCTTTGATACCCTGCTGGGTAGAGTCTTTCAGAGACCCTCTGTGGTAGGATCCTATCCTGTTTGTTTTCTCCCTTTTCTGATGTCCATCCTGTTTGCCTTTCTGAATGAGGATTGAGCATCTAAGCTGTACACCAGCTTCCTTAGGTGTACAGATTTTAGTGTGACTATTCTATATTATATGTCTAATATCCACTTATAAGTAAGTATATACCATGTGTGTCTTTCTGCTTCTGGGATACCTCACTCAGGATGATCTTTCCTAGTTTCCACCATTTGCCTGCAAATTTCATGATTTCCTTGTTTTTAATTGATGAGTAGTATTCCATTGTGTAAATGTACCACAATTTCTGTTTCTATTCCTCAGTTGAGGGGCATCTGGGTTGTTTCCAGTTTCTGGCTATTACAAATAAAGCTGCTGTGAACATGGTTGAGCAAATATCATTGTTGTATACTTGAGCCTCTTTTGGATATATGCCGAGGAGTGGTATAGCTGGATCTTGAGGAAGCACTATTCCTAATTGTCTGAGAAGGTGCCAGATTGATTTCCAAAGTGGTTGTACAAGTTTACATTCTGACCAGCAATGAAGTAGGATTCTTCTTTCTCCACATCCTTTCCAGCATGTGTTGTCACTTGAGTTTTTGATCTTAGCCATTCTAAGAAATCTCAGGGTTGTTTTGATTTGCATTTCTCTGATGACTAAGGATGTTGAGCATTTCTTGAAGTGTTCCTCTGCCATTTGATGTTCCTCTATTGAGAATTCTCTGTTTATCTCTATACCCCACTTTTTAATTGGGTTATTTGATTTGTTGCTGTTTAAGTTCTTAAGTTCTGTATATATTCTGGATATTAGACCTCGGTCAGAAATAGGGTTGGTGAAGATTGTTTCCCAGTCTGTAGACTGTCATTTTGTTCTGATGACAATGTCCTTTGCTTTACAGAGGCTTTTCAGTTTCATGAGGTCCCATTTATTGATTGTTGCTCTTAGAGCCTGTGCTGTTGGTGTTCTGTTCAGGAAGTTGTCTCCTGTGCTGATGTGTTCAAGGCTCTTCCCCACTTTTTCTTCTAACAGGTTTAGTGTATCTGTTTGTATTTTGAGGTCTTTGATCCACTTGGGTTTTAGTTTTGTGCAGGGTGATAAGTATGAATCTATTTGTATTTTTCTACATGTAGACATCCAGTTAGACCAGCACCATTTGTTGAAGATGCTGTCTTTTTTCCATTGTATGGTTTTGGCATCTTTGTCAAAAATCAGGTGTCCATAAGTGTGTGGGTTTATTTCTGGGTCTTCTATTTGATTCCACTGATCCACCATTCTGTTTCTATGCTAATACCATGCAGTTTTTATTACTGTTGCTCTATGGTACAGCTTGAGATCAGGGATGGAGATACCTCCAGATGATCTTTTATTGTAGAAGATTGTTTTAGTGATTCTGGGTTTCTTGTTATTCCATATGAAATTGAGAATTTTTCTTTCAAGGTCAAGGTCAAGGTAGAGAATTGTGTTGGTAATTTGATGGGAATTGCATTGAATCTGTAGTTTACTTTTGGTAAGATGGCCATTTTTACTATGTTAATCCTGCCAAGCCATGAGCATGGGAGAGCTTTCCATATTCTGTTATCTTCTCCTATTTCTTTCTTCAGAGACTGAAAGTTTTTTTCATACAAGCCTTTGACTTGCTTGGTTAGAGTTATACCAAAGTACTTTATGTCCTTTGTGGCTATTGTGAAGGGTGTTGTTTCCCTACTTTCTTTCTCAGCCCACTTGTCTTTTGTACATAGGAGTGCTATCTTTTGTATTTAAGAGGGCTACTGATGCAAAAGTAACTTTTATTCTTCTGACTTAGTTGTCATCTCAGAAGCTTTACTGTCTTTGTCTGCTAACCAAGGCCTAAGACTCCAGCCTCCACACAATCTAATCAAGGACTAGAATGTTTTCAGCCTCTGGGACTTACTGCTGATTAAGCTCACCCTTTCTAGCTCTTTATGAACTCCCACTGGCTGGTTCAATTCAGCTGTTCTGGCTCAAATTTCTCTCCAAGCTAACTGATTCAATATGGCTTCTCTCAGTTTCTGACTGAATTTCTGTGCTTGGCCTCATACTAACTTTGGCAGTATGTTCTAATCTTCTGGCTTTTTCTCATTCTGTGGCTCATTCTGTCTTCACCTGTGTCTAGCTTGTTCACGCTTTGTAACCTGTCTCTGTAACTGTCCTGGTAAAACTGCCTCCTCTCTCTGTGCTGCTCTCCCTTAAATTGCCTCTCTTTCCCCTGCTGTTCTCATGAGAGTTGGGCATATCCTATTCTGTCAAATCCTTCTCTGATTCTTTACTTTGTCTGCCTCTCAATTAGACTTTTAACCACAGCTGCTTCCTTCTACAAACTTGACTTTACCTTCATTGTTTGGGATTAAAAGCATGTATGAATATGAAGGTTCTGCTTTCCAGCCAGATCACATAGACCTAGAAAGTCTTTGGATGTGATCAGGGTATCCATGTTGTTGGATTAAAATTCTTCTACATTTTCTATGATATTATATTATCTCCCTCTCACTGCAAAGTATTGTTCTTGGTCCCTGTCATTCCATTTTTATTATGTTCTTACTTCATGTGTGGGGGATGGGGTAGAATGGAGCATGTGCTTACTGAGAGGTCAGAGGAAAACTTCTGAGAGTTGGTTCTCTTTTTCTACCTATGTGGGTCCTGGAGATTAAACAATTTATCAGGATGGTGTCAAGTACCTTTACCTGCTGAGTTATCTGTCTGGTTCCTTGTCATTCTATTTTAAAATTATTTTTTATGATTGTGTCTTTATACATACATGTACCGTGACATGCACATGGAAGTCATCGGACAGCTATCAGAAATTGTTATACATGTATGTGCATTTATTCTATGTGCATAACTTTAAAATTATTCTTCAAATAGGAACAAAAGGCTCATTTACACCATCTAGCTAAAGAAGATTATCACAAGCAACTGAATGAAATTGAAAAATCTTATGCTACAGTAACAAATCAGTTTGGATTGGTGAGAGAGAATCATGTAAAGTTAGAACAAAATGGTAGGTGCTATTTTATCTAAACTTTTATGTTTAATGTGCAATGTTTAAGTGGACTTCCTTATTATTAGTAAATTGAACTTACCTGATACTAGTAATAATAAATGATAGTTTAGTGAATATTAAATTAAGCTAGAATTATGCATTGCATTGGGACTGTTTTATTGTCCATATTAGTGATACTATCTTTGAAATATACAAGTTATATAATCCATCTCTAATATTTTTATGTTACAGTACAAGAAGCAATACAGTTAAACAAAAGACTCTCCTCCTTAAATGAAAAACAAGAATCTGAAATACAGACTTTAAAGAAGGTATGATTGACATGTTAAGCAAAAAACTATAGTCTAAAATATTTGGTATTATCAGATATTACGGATTATTACTAGAAAACAGTTGAGTATTTTTTTTTTTGGTGAAAGCAGAATATAAATTCATAAGTGTTAAGTATGATTCTAGCACGTATAATGAATGATTTTTCTAATCCATTCAAAATATTATTTCTTCAACTTATCATCAGAGATGTACCTTCTTAGAGAAGTAGGAATAGCCTGCAAAAATTTACTGCGTCAGTTAGATGGACATTATGCTTGCTTTTTCCATTCTTTCATTCTTTTTCTTTTTTCTTTAAAAAGTTTGTATATAGTAGGTATTATGTAGTGCTAAATATAACTATGAAGAATATAAAACATGTTTCTACTTTAATGAAGTTTACAGTATGTTTCAATTTATTTTCCTGTTGATGTGATAAAATGTTCTGATAAAAGTGCCGTAAGGGAAAAGGTTTATTTTGGGTCATAATTCCAGTCAGTCTCGGTAAGGAGGCCAAGGTAGTAGAGGTGTGAAAGATTTGGACACATCACACACAGTGAGAAACAGACCTGATGAATGCTTGCTGTTGCTCACCTCCTTTTTTTGCCTCTGCAGTCAAGGATCCTAGCCAAGGTAATTGTGCCGCCTACAGTGGACAGGTCTCCTCACCACATTTAACCTAGTCTCTTTTTTCAGTGGCTGTGAGTTTCGTTAGGGCTGCTCTTACCAGTGGCTACACCACAGAAGAAGATGTCTATTCTTCCTCCAGCAACTATTAACTGGCTATAAATTCTCAGGTAGAAGTAGGGCCTTCTGAGTTTTTTCCTGCCCTCCATGACAGGATATGGGTGGCGCCAATACTTTGTAGGTGATCACAGCTTCTGTGAGTTGACGAGTGTGACCACTATTTCATGCCTGGGACCATTGTTCCACATCATTCCCTGACCTTCTTCCAGCTTTCACATTCTTTCTACTCATTCTTCACGATGTTCCTTGAGGCTCAGAGGGGGTGATAGAGATTTCCTGTTTATAGCTGAGTGCTAACGTTGCACTTGTTCTCCTTTCATTGGCCAGTTCTAAAGTTCTGCAGTTACTACTGCCACTGTAGAAAGAAGCTTCTCTGACCAAAGCTGACAGCAGCACCAGCCTATACACATAAGCATAGTTATTTAGAAGGCAGCGTGCCCATTTAGCAAAATAGCAGTACCTTACACCATAAGGTCTGTGACCTCTCCAGTCATGGACTTTTGATGAAATCATTTTATTTTTCTTGTTTATTTTTTTCTTTAAAAATTTTTTTTTATTTGTTACAACTTATTCACTTTGTATCCCAACTGTATCCCTCATTCCCTCCCAATCCCACCTTTCCTCCTTCTCCTCCCATGCCCCTCCCACAGTCCACTGACAGGGGAGGTCCCCCTCCCCTTCCATTTGACCCTAGCTTATCAGGTTCTCATCAGGACTGGCTGCATTGTCTTCCTCTGTGGCCTGATAAGGGGGAGGTCATCAAAGAGCCAGCCACTGAGTTCTTGTCAGAGGCAGTCTCTATTCTCCTTACCAGAATACCCACTTGGACACTGAGCTGCTATGGGCTACATCAGTGCAGGGATTCTAGGTTATCTCCATGCATGGTACTTGGTTCGAGTATCAGTCTCACAAAAGACCCCTCTGCCCAGATTTCTTGGTTCTGTTGCTCTCTTTGTGGAGCTCCTGTCCCTTCCAGGTCTTTCTATCTCCCCCTTCTTTCATAAGTTTCCCTGCATTCTGCCCAAAGTTTGGCTATGAGTCTCAGCATGTGCTTTAATACCTGGCTGGCTAGAGTCTTTCAGAGGCCCTTTGTTGTAGGCTTCTGTCCTGTTCCCTGTTTTCTCCCTCTTCTGCTGTCTGTCCTGTCTGCCTTTCTGAATGAACCTATTGCCAGCTCTGGATTCCCTCTTCTGGAGCAGGCCCCAAATCCACTCATAAGTGGCTGGTTACTTCTAAAAGAGACTAGCCAGTACTGCACCACTCGGTGCACTTTGCCTGGCCAGTTGGTATTGTTTTATGCAGGGCAGTGATGAGTCATTTTATGTCAACTTGATACAACCTAGAGTCCTTTTAGAAGAGGGAACCTCAACTGAGAAAATGCCCCCAACTAGATTGGTCTTTGGATAAGCCTGTGATGCAATTCCTTGATTGATGGTTGATGTGGGAGGGCCCAACTCACAGTGGTGGTCCTAGGTACTGTAAGAAGGCAAGGTGAGCAAACCAGTAAGCAGCACCCCTCCATTACCTTTGTGTCAGCTTCTGCCTCCAAAGTTCCTGTACTGACTTTCTGCCTTAACTTCCTTGGATGATGGAATACAAACTATAAGATGGAATAAACCCTTTCCTCCCCAAGTTGCTTATGATCATAGTATTTTATGATAGCAATAGAAATTCTAAGACATCCCCAGCAGCATGCATGCATCTTTTGGTACTCTGTGAGCTAGCCAGCAGGGAGGAGCTTTCAGTCCAGTATGTCCTGTAACAGTGCTTTGCTGCCTAGTTTGACGTCAACTTAACACAAGCTAGAGTTAATCTGGGAGGATGACTAACTCTACTAATGAGGATCCTCCTCTGTTTGTGAGAATGTCGGCTCTAGGAAACAGAGGTGTAGTTTCTGTTGTTCTGTATTTATTCTGCTTGGTGCTTGTGTGGTTTCTGGACTTGAGGATTGGTGTCTAACATTTCTTTCAAAAAATTCTCGGTTGCTACTGCTTCCATACTGGGTTTGTTCCCTTCCCTTTCTAGTATTGCCACTATGTATGTGTGACATCATTTGCAGTTGTTACAATTCTTCAGTGTTCTGTTCCTTTTACTTTCTCTTTCTTCTCAGTTTTGGAAATTTATTTTGTTATGTTCTCTAGCTCACATAGCAGTTGTGTCTAGACTGCTAATAAGTTCAAAAGAAGCATTCTTCATGGTACTGTTCTTTTTCCTGTGTTGAGAATATTTATTCTGTCTCTATATTTTAATTAAAATATATTCTGATTACTATTCTCCCTCCAGCTCTTCTTTATCCTCCACCAATCCAAACTCATTCTTTCTCTCTTTCATTAGAATATAATAAAAATAAAAACAAACAGCTAGGCGTGGTGGTACACACCTTTAATTCTAGCACTCAGGAGGCAGAAGCAGGCGGGTCTCTTGAGTTTGAGACCAGCCTGGTCTACAAAACAAGTCCAGGGCAGCCAGAGAAACCCTGTCTTGAAAAACCAAACAAACTGAAAACAAAAAGAGCCAAAGGGTGGGGGTGGGAACACAAGCAGATACGGAGACACATACATTCATACACACAGGAAACTCATAAAAACAAAGTCAGAAACCATAATGTATAAGCAAAAGGTCTTTAAGGTTAAAAAGAGAATACCAGAAAAACTTTGTGAGGGGGAAGAAAACCCTTTCAAACAAAGCAAAAATAAACACAAACAAGCAAACAACTCCAAAAATACCACTGAGTTTGTTTTATGTTGGCCGTCTACTGATGGGCATAGGCCTAGCACCTAAGTATAGTTTGTGTACCCAGTGAGACTTCATGGAAAACCCTAAGTTTTCCTTTGTGAGCAGTTGTCAGCTGGAAGTAGCTTCTGGGTTCGGGATGGGGGCTTGTGCTGACTTCCCTTCTCAGTGCTGGTAGCCCATCTGGCTTAGGCTTATGCAGGCCTTGTGCATGCTGCCAGTCTCAGAGCTCATATGTGAGTCAGTCCTGTGGGGTCTAGAAGGCTTTGTTTCCTTGGTGTCATCATCCCCACTGGGTTTTAGAACTTTTGCCTCCTCTTGCACAGTCCCCTGATCCCTGAAGGGAGTGATTTAATGGAGACAGCCCATTTAGGACTGAGTGTCTCAAGGAATTGCCACTCTGCACATTGTCCAGTGGTGGCTCCTCTGTATTTGTTCCCGTCACTGTAGGAGGAAGCTTCTCTGATGGTGGTTGGCCAAGGTACTGATCTACTAGTATAGCAGGTAGCAGCATAGCAACTCCTAAAAAACGTTGTTTTAGGAGCTGTTTTATTGCTGTATTCCGCTAGCAGAACAAGAGTATTTGGTTTTTCCTTAGGCCCCTGGTCTATCTAGTCTCAGGTTCTTGGTCACCTGGGGGGTATTTTTTAAAAATAAAATTTTAACTTATTTTTATATATTTTAAAAATAAAATAGTTACATCACATATCCTCTTCCTCCTTCTGACCCCTCCCATGTCTACCCTCACTCTCAAAAATCATGCTCTGTTTTTCTTTGATCATTGTTGTTACATGCATAAATACAACCTGATGAGTTTGCTTTGCTGTTTGTGTGGACATGTCTTTGTGGGCTGACCACTTTGTAATGGATAACCAGTTAAAGATTCATCCCTAGGAGAGGCCAATTCTTCCTTTTAGCAGTCATTACTTGCCTATAATTCTTTGTCTAGGGATACTGCAAAATTGCCCCACGCCCTTTTTTGAGATAGCATGCCCATTAATAATTGCCATTGTTCTGGTCTTACTTATACAGACATTTCTAGGAGAGACTGTTTCATAACAGGCTTTCTGGTATTCTGGCTATTAAAATCTTTTCACTCCCCTCTCCTGTGATGTTCCCTGAACTATAGGTGCAGGAGCCGTGTTGTACATGTGTTCGTTGGGGATAGGCTCCTCATGATCTGTTTTTTCTTTATTGTGCTATTCAGTTGTGATTTTCTGTGATGGTCTCCATTTCCTATAAAGAGAAACTTTTTTGATGAGAAAAGAGAGCTACACTTATCTGTGGGCGTAAGGGTACATTTTAGAATGTAGTAAGGAATTGTGCTGGTCTACCAAGGTGTTAATAATAGATGCTTTTGTAAGGTTCACAACCTCACTAGCTCCAGGAAGTTGGCTAGGTTTGTAATATAGGCATGATTTCCTTCCTTTTGAGTGGGCCTTGATTCTAGTCAGACAGCTGTTGGTTACCACCAATATCTAAGTGCCATTTATTGGACCTTTATAGGTATCTTGGCATGCTG